AAATAGAGTCGGTGAAAACCAAATTTGTGTGTCCATCCCTATCAACTCTATTGAATCCAGGCAGAGGCCTGAATAGCTATTTTCTGTTTGATTCCGTCAATTATTATGACTAAAGGGTGTAATTTATTAATAGAAATCTAGACAGGTCAATAATTGAGTTAAAACGTTTTAATTGAAACATCTCAAGAATTTTGACATGTTCTGAATTTGATTGATTTCACCGTCAGATTTATCTTGTAGTATCTATGGTAGCTACCTTGATTTGAAAGGAAAATTTTGTGTGGGGGAGAATCCAAAGATTCAATTTCTTATTGTTTTACCTTATTTTGTTCATATTTTTGCCTGCCAGAGCTACTGTCAGGAAAGCAGCATTTCGCTCAATCCTAACGAGCATTTTAATTTAATCTTGTCGTTAATATTTTAATTTTATTATTATCTTACCATTATCCTCAATTATTTAATTGTATTTTTTTTACATTAAAATATATTTTTTTCAACTTGCAATAGCTGTTCATACCTGATTCTGTTGGAAGAAAGTGTTTGTACAACAATCATTCTATATTAAATTTCAATTTCAATTTTCTTTGCAAAACACTCACTTTTTGACTGAATTCAGGGACTTGATATTCCAAATATTGGTGAACCTGATACTGCGTTATTTTTTTATGGGTACCTACTCGACATAAGGATCACTGTTTGGAGTCTGGATCAGCTGGAGTGACGTCACCCCAGCATTCTATCCTCTTCCTGGATACAGGAAAGAACACGAAGAGCTCCAGTTCACGAAAGTGAAACCCGAACACCAAATGAAGAGCTCCGAGTTGGAAAGGTATATGGTATCAAGATTCACCGGAAAAACCAAGCTGTCAACACTAAAATTTAATGTTACTCTATGTTACATATAACAGTGGTAAATATCAAATAAAATTATTGTTTGTTGGATTTTGAGTGGTTTCATTTGCACATAAAGGGACTACACGTTATCTTAATTTTTTGAATTCCACGACCCTAGGTTATCTTGTCTTGAAGTAACAAATGTAAATTAATTTGCAACAAGCTGAAAGCGCTCTATAACGCTGAATTTCGATAAACAAAATTTGCATGAAATACCTACACTTTGTCTCTTGCATTATCTGGATACATGCACACAACCTCCTTGGCTGAAGACATATATCTAGAAAGGGTGGGAGTCACAGTGACATAACTTGTTGCATCCCGAAGCAAAATAGATAAATAAGTATTTTAAACAATTCATAGACAACATAAATGACATAAAACCAAGCAGAGTGCAAAGTTCACAATGGAGAAGAAATCAGGAAGTCAACTTCCAATCCAAGATCATCTCATATCGGCCAATATCCAAATTTCATCATTAAACCACTGCAGAGCCATTGAATTAGAGACTCACTACTAGTTAGAGCACATAACTTATGCAGCATCGAAGAAATCAGAATGTAAATTTCGAAAAATTTCATCGGAAATGTTCACAAGAATAATATGTCCCGGCATCTGGTGGACTTTGTTTGTGCCACCCTAACGATCGCTAAGTCCATTCATATAAACTTGTACCCTGATAGTGACAACAGGACAAAAATAGAAGCTCTTACAGACAATGCTCATACCTATAATAGAGACTTGAGTCAAACTTAAGAATTGAGCACGGTTTGAGATGTAAATGCTTACTATATACAAGTATTATTGGCCAAGAAAGCTGCAAACTGCTGTGTTTTATAAGGCCTACTCAAGTACGGTGGTACCTTACCTTGAAGAATGCTTGGGGCTTTAGAGTAACGTAAAGAAAACGAGCTATATTTGGAAGTAGGAGCCAGAAAGGCCGCACACAAAATTTTAAAATAAGAGAAGGTGGTACAGATGTAATTCTAAAAACATTTCCACTAGTATAACAATAGACAGGACATATCGCCAGGAAACACGAATGTAACATCAACATCAACATAAAAAAAAACGATACTTACATGCATTTATAAAGAGAATGTTGGAAGCTGATGGGAATGGTACATCCAAGAGACGATGAATACAGGCTGAAGGAGAAGAACAAGTAGGTAACGGTATTTCTTACACACCCTTAACAATGATAAGCAAAGTGAAGTTTCAAGAGTCAGAAAAAAAGTTTAATCAACCATATAAGTAAAAGTATTCACCTAACTATGTGCGAAAGAATCTTCAAAAATGAAGTTCTAACAAACAAATTAGCCAACAAAAAATAATTGCCTAGTGAAATCCCAAAGTACCGATTTTCACTTCAAGATTACTTTTTATAAATTCCCAACCTGAACACTGCCATCGTTTAATCTGTTTATATTGTTATATAACTTTTTGATAAAGCTAGTTAAAAAGTACGCGGCACGAACGATAGCATTTTTTTTTCTTGAGGATTTAATAAAAATTTCCAAAAACTTTATGAATCTTGAATGGCTTAATTTTACTCCGTAATTATTTTTGATACTTTTCTTTTCTGTTCGCTTTTGCAAGCATAAACATACGGACCCTTACGTAAGCATGTCCGGAAAAATGGAAACATAAATATTAATACGTTGCGGACGGATAATATCATTTTCTTGCTTTATTTTTTCGTTTTCCTTTTGTCCCGCTGTTTCCGGGTTTCACCAACATAGTAGCCCGCCGACGTTTCCTTATTTTCATCAGCGAACATTTTGTTGATGGGGGTATTTTTCTATAGAAGTACAGTACAATGCAACTTTTCTGATAGGGAAATTTATATTTTCAACTAGAAAAGTTGCTTTGTTTGTCTTATTTTGATCCTGTTCGTTAAGTTGCATTTTTCTCGGATAAACAATCTAACGCTTTGTTTGGTGCCCTCCCTCGCTGTCTTTTCAGCAAACAAAAATGCCTCGACGCGCGTATAAGAAATCTTCAGCCTGACTTATTTCAAATAATATACATAATTATGTTATAAATTTAAATTTTATTTACGTAATAAATCTTTGAGTGAACACTTGAGAATAAACACATGTTCAGGGAATGTGTTTAGAAAGTTTACGCCGCTATCTTTGGAAGTTGGTCAAATATTCAAAGACGATTTTTATATTTAAGCCTTTCACAGAGGCAGTTTGGATTTTCCATTTTTTTTTTTTTTTTTGAAATGATTCTCTCAAAGGCAAATTTGAATCTTTATTCAGAGACTTGAATGCAAATCCTTCAAAGGGTGTTTTTGAATCTTTATAAGGCAATATTAGGCTTACTGAAGCTTTCAGGGCTGGTTTCAAATTGTGCAAATGCGATTTTCAACTAGGTATGTTATAGTTGCCATGATAAATCTTTAATCTACGACGGTATCATTATGATACATTTATCATGCACGCTTCGATGTTTTAAGGTCCTTCATAGAAAAATGTACGAGAATAAAGTTAGTTATCAAAAGAAGCCTTTCATTGATGCTAGTCTCGATATCTTTCTTGGGTCTGATTCCTCACTTTCCTCTTTCCTATAAGATCTCCCTTGATCAACTCTACTTTTCCGCTTCCGACGCTATTAGAGCATTCGAGGGCTAGGGGGCATTATTTTCATCTCAGATTTTCCTCTTCACACAACAAGAAAAAAAAAAACGATGGCAAGCAATGAAATGGATAATGAGTTTACGGTGCAGGGGGTATACCCCAGTACCAGTCGAAGAATCTGGTGGTGGTGCAGGCCAGCCTCGACCGTCAACAAACGCCTGTACAGCGCCCCTGCGGTAGGGAACCAGGCCGGGGCGCCAGTGCCAACGACTGGAACTAAGACAGAAGAGTGGTCTATCCACTTTGGAAGACGGAACTCCCTAGCGAGATCGCCACCCAGAAGAAAGTACCCGGTTGCAAATGCAGGCGGCCCCAAGTTTTGGGGGGGGGGCAATACTCCGATTTTAGCCATAGCAGCTAGCCAAGAGAAAGAGATCCAAGAGAAAGAGAGCCAAAAGAATAACACTTTAACGGACGAAAGTGTCTTCGGCAGAGAACCATGGCTTGGCAGAACACCCCCGAGAGAACGAGCACTCTCGGTACCAAGTCTGGAAAGAATGGAGATGGTCAATCGCACTGAAGAGGAAGATAGCCAAATAGGAAAAAAAAAGAGAATCTAAACCCGCACAGACGGTAAAAAGCATAAAAGAAAAGAAAGGCCGGAATACTCAATACTAAAAGCAGCAATAGTGGTAATTACCAAACTTAACACGGCACTAAATAGAAACGTGGAACAAAACACAAGAAGGGAAATCAAAACCATCGCGCAAAAACTCGCTAGACAAATCAAATCGCAGTACTAAACGGAGCTCACATAAAGACATTGATGGAAGAATTCAGATTCGGGAAGACAGAGAACATACCAAACGACTCCGATATTCAAACACGACCTGAAAAGGCGCGAATAAATTACGTCAATACGCCCTGCCCCAGGTGCGAAAACCTTCCAAAGTCAGAAGAGGAGGCTACAGAAACTGAAAACACTAGACCACACCTGGAAAAGACAACTTGCGAACAAGGTACACAGACAGGGGAATTCACGCTACAAGGCACGGATACATATCAGAAATGGAAAATAGTGGAAAAAGAACGTTGCCTGAACACACATTCCAAAATACGGAAGTAATTATAGGAAATCCACTGAACACAGACCTAGGCACCATAAAGGTGGTACTTACATAAAAAGAAGATCCCAGCATGGAGAAGGGCATACAGGCTCTATATAAGTCGAGATTTCCTGGAATCGAAAACCTCACTGAGGAATATGAAGAACTGGAGCAGACAACAAAGGCCAAAATCAACGGAGAAACGAGGACAACCACACAGAAGGTCATCAAGATCAATGCAGGTATCAATGGAGAGGACCTGTGGAAAAAGCTGACGAGGTTGAAAAAAGAAAATCCAGGCACGCTAGCGATGGCGACAAACCACATAGAGAATATGACACTGAAACAACTTCAAAAGATATTTGAAGCCGTCTTCTATGGAACACACATTAAGATAAGTTAATACACTACTAAGAGAAGAAATGAGGAAGAACACTACACATCAACCCCTGCTATCAAAAGACCCGAGCGACAAACAGATGCCCTGATTGTGGAAGAACAAGGCAGGGACATGAAAGACCTGATGAGAGATGTTAAAGACAAAATTACTCAAATGGAAGGCAAAGACAAGATCCTGGGACTCAGAAACACCAAAGAAGACAAACTAATTATCACGATGGAAAAAGACGATCTGCAATCTGCATCTGCAAAAAAACTTAACGAGAATATAAAATATTTATCAAAAAATATAAACACCAGAATGAGCGGCACATCTAAACCGCATAAAGTGACGATGTACTTTCGGGGAATGGATTCCATCACAACACGGGAAGAGGTACTACAGGCATTAGAGGACATAACGGGCATACTAAAAGAGACCAACTATAGACTCGGCGAAATCAGACCCCAGTCAAATGGCACGCAGGCGATCACTTTCCAAAGAATTAGCAGAGAAAATAAGCACGGATAAACACATCAGAATAGGAGTGGTCAGATGTAACATCGAGAAAAGACACTACGTAGAAAGATGCCGTAAATGTTGGTCAAACTCCTGCTACAGGTGCGGAGGAGAGGGCCACCAGGCAAAGGCCTGCACAGAGGAGGAAAACTGCCCAGTATGCGAAACAAAGGGCCACAGAGCAAATACGGGGAGATGCACGGCCTTTAAAAAGTCTATGAAGATAGTAAGAAATCTGGAAAGACAAGCGAGCAGAAAGGAAGAACGCTCAATTCAAAATGATGCCTAAAATACATGCAGCACAGTTAAACTACAATAGGTGCCATGCAGCACACGACCTAATGTACAAATTGGCTATAGAGGAAAATCTGGACCTAATCATCGGGTGTGAGCCAAATAAGCGAAGAGCGACAAATCTTCTATGCGACACCGACTGCGACTGTTTCATCCAGGTCTTCACATCCACAGACCTGCCTCTGGGGAAGTCCGTTTCAGGAAAGGGTTATGTGTTGGGAGAGTACGTCGTGATCTCGTGCTACTTCTCACCAAACGGAGAACTCGAGGATTTTGAAAAATTGCCGCAAAAAAAGGAAGGGCATGTTCGTGCCGCGGCTTATACAAAGAAGCTGGTAATTGGAAGAGACCTCAATGCTAAGACCCCGGCAATAGGATCGACAGACATAAATCAGAGAGGAGGACTACTGGAGGACTGGATTGGGACGAACAATCTGATAACTATGAACGAAGAGGGTACGCCAACATTTGTAAGAGGGGATAGCAGCTCGGTGATCGATTTCACGGCTGTGTCGGAAAATTTGGTAAACAGTGTCGCGAATTGGAGAGTCCTGGAGGAAGAGAACATGAGTGACCACCAAACTATTAGATGGGACATAGCCGGAGTGCCTGAAAAAAAGACCAAATTGAACGACGAAGTTGCAGTGAACACAAATAGATGGATTTTGAGACTTTCTCCATCGCGGCAATGGACAAGGCCAACATAAACGCTGAGAGCGTCACTGCAATCATGACAAGTACGTGCGGGAAGTTCCTGAAAAGAAAGACCGGCCGGAAAAGGCATGGACCCATTTACTGGTGGAGCACAGAAATAGCCGAAAAAAGGAGAAACTGCATGGATATTAGAAGGAATTTGGGAAGAGCGAACAAGAGAAATGATAGAGAGACAGCCGAACGTTTGAGGACAGAACAGAAGGAAGCCAAAAAAGCGCTGAGGGCGGAAATAGAAAGGAGCAAGAGGGAGAAATGGAAAATGGAAAAAAAAAAGTCTGCAACGAACTCGATGAGGACGTCTGGGGAAAGGGGTACCAGATAGTCACAAGGAAGCTCAAGCTCAGACCAAATGTGCCACTTGGTAGGGAAATCGTAAATGAGCAGGTTGCAAAACTTTTCCCGAAAGGGAAAGCGCCAACATGGGAGGCTCTCTCAAGGGTAGAGGTTAAAAAGTGGAATACCAAAGATATAACGGAGGCAGCAAATCTGAAAAAAAAGAAAGCCCCGGGAACGGACAATATCCCACCAGCTAGTCCTAAAAGCATGCATAGCGGAAGATACACCACTTTTTCTTAAGCTGTACAACGACTGCCTCTTAGAGAGAGTTTTACCAGAAATCTGGAAAACAGCGAAACTGTGCCTCATAGAGAAACCCAAGAAAAATATCGAAGCACCTCCCGCATATAGACCAATAAGCCTGATCAACACAGGAGGAAAACTCCCTGAGATCCTGATTAAGAGAAGACTAATGGCAGAGATCGAAGAAAATAACCTAATCAACAAAAACCAGTTTGGATATCAGAAGGGGAAATCAACCATTGATGCAATAGACACCATTCAAAAATAGTACAAGACATAAATAGGAAAGCGGTTAAGAACAGAGATTTCTGTGTGATGGTACTCGTAGACATTGAGAATGCCTTTAATACGGTACCCTGGAGGGGCATCATCGACACTCTGAGTGAGCAGAGACCTCATCAGGATACTAAAGTCATACCTATCAAAAAGAAATATCATGACCCCAGCAGGCGATATGGTAGAGGTCGCCTGCGGGGTACCGCAGGGCTCCATTATAGGTCCAATTCTGTGGAACCTATTTTATGATAAAATCTTGAAACTAAATCTAAAAGGACAAGGTAACGCTAGAGGAAAGAGCTCAATCAATAGTAGCAAGGGTTATAAGCAGACTTAAAGATATGGGACTAAAGGTGGCAACAGCTAAGACTGAGATGGTGCTCCTCGCAAGAAGACGTAAGATAAAAGAACTGGATATCAGAATCGGTACAGAGTTGGTCGAAACTGCAAGCCCAGTGAGATATCTGGGGGTTGGGGGTCTACCTAGACAAAGACTTTAAAATGACTAAACACATAGAAAAAATCACAGAAAAAGCCAATAAAATGATTAACTGCCTAAGCCGCATCCTTCCCAAAATCGAAGGTCCCAGACCTGCGAAAAGGAGATTACTGGCAAGTACGGTCCAATCGGTTATGCTTTATGCTGCACCCACGTGGGAAAGAGCTATGAGATTTAAGAAGTATGCGAAGCTGCTCGGAAGGGTGAACAGGAGGCTGTGCATCGGCATCGCGTGGGCCTACCGCACGGTACCAACCGAGGCGGTTCAACTGATTGCAGAGACGATGCCCATAGATATCTTAGTTAGGGAGAGCAGAGATTTATAGAAGGGGGAGGAACATAGAGAGGAAGCCCGACTAAGGTCAAGAGATACGTGGAGGTCAAGGTGGCAGATTTATCAGGGATGGACCAAATTCTTTATACCAGACCTGGACAAATGGCTGGATAGAAAGTGGGGAAATATAAATTTCCATATCACACAGGCGATGACTGGACATGGTGTGTTTAATAATTATTTTAAAAAAATCAAGAAGCGGGAGAGCGACGAGTGCTGGTACTGTCTCCAAGAGGACACCCCCGAACACACACTGTTCTGGTGCACAAATTTTAAAGACATAAGGAGAGAGGCCGAAAGGGTGTGCGAGGAGAGAATCACAAAGGAGAATGTAGGTCAGCTGCTGATGAGGCGAGAGGAAGACTGGGACGATATAACACAAATGATGGAAACCATAATGAAAACGAAAGAAAGGGAAGAGCGAGAGCGGGAGATGGAGGAACCAAGATAGAACAGGGGCACGCAAGTAGAAGTTAGAAATGCATCAATAGAAAAAAAAAAAAAAAAAGAGTACAGGAAACACAGAACCCTGAAGCATGCCTGCATGGTGATTCCAGGGCGAAAGTGAGGGGGTTATTTTTTTAGTCGGTAGGCGGTCTCCTTCAGAGGCTGAATCCGACACTACCCGACCGCCAGAACAACAGGTTGGGTATGTCATTTGAAGATCTTTTTTTCACTCCGAAAAAAAAAAAAAGGCATTTTGGGTTTCTATCTTCTTCTGGGTTGTTTTAGTACCTACCATATTAATAAATCAATATCTAAACTGCTGGATAAATGAAGCGGAATAAGCAAATTTTTAGTTTAACTTTGGATTCCAATATTACGCGAGCTAAAGAAAATATCAATGAGTGGTTTGCGTATTTTAAAAGTTAATTTTCGCAAACCGATCATTCATATTTTTTTTTGTTTCCGTAATATTGGATTTTGAAGTTAACCTAGCAAATGGATATATTTCTGTCTTTCTCTAATTTCTGATTCTGAAATAATCATTTTTGGCTCAATGACCTAATTATTTAGCAGTTTTTTATTTTTGACATAACTTTAATTTAAATTATTATAATTTGTAAACAATTAAAATAATTTTTGTGGATTTTTATCTATTCTCTTTTATTCCACGTGGTTTTTCATTATGAAGTCGTTGTAAAGTGAATATGATCTTTTGGGTGTACTCTTCTGATTGGTTGAACTGGTTAAAATACAGTGAAGTATAAAAAAACAGGATCGTTTTCCTGTGGGGTTTGGTTTCTAAAACGTTCTTTTTTCTAGGCGGTAGTCTAGCAGGGAAGTCATTTTTATTTTTAATAAGTTTTGCTTTATATTTTTAGATTCTCCCTCATAGATTTTTCAATATATTTAGCTATCAATGCATATTATCATATCATTGTTAAGTTTCTACCTGATAAATCTTATCTTATCTGCTGGGCCGGTATTCTGGTTCTCAAAAACGCTCACCGCTTTCTAGTCGCTCGGCACTTTAAATGCAAATTTACATTGAAAGTGCCGAGCGACTGAAAAGCGGTGAGCGTTTTCGAGAACGAGAATACCGGCCCTGTTCTTGAAATATAAATATTATATTTTAATTTTTTATCTAATTGTGGGCTTCCATTTTTGTGTGAGTGCCGTTTGGTTGTTCCATGTTTTTTTTTTTGAGGTAAGTCAATTCAGACTTTTGGACTAATAAATAGATACTGCTGCTCTGGTTTTCAGAATCAATTGTTAGTGTGGGAATATTGGACCATTTGCACTAAATAGAGTTGGCGAACACCAAATTTGTGTGTCCATCCCTATCAACTCCTTATTGAATCCAGGCAGAGGCTTGAATAGCCATTTTCTGTTTGACTGCGTCAATTATTATCTCGACTAAAGGGTGTAATTTTTTTAATAGAAATCCAGACAGGTCAAAAATTGAGTTAAAAAGTTTAAATTAAAACATCTCAAGAATTTTGACACATTCCGGATCACGAACCCCCGATTCGATAGTATCGTCCATATAAATTACATGGACGATACTATCGAATTGTGGGTTCGTGATCCGGGGGCTGTTTATCTTGTAGTATCTGGTAGCTACCTTAATTTGAAAGGAAAATTTTGTCTATTTGGGGGAGAATCTAAAGATTTAATTTTTGCATTTTGCTCAATCATAACGAGCATTTTAATTTAATCTTGCTTTTATTATTTTAATTTTACTATTATCTTACCATTATTTTCAAATATTTAATTGTTTTTTTTTTAATTAAAATATTTTTTTTTTTCAATTTGCAATAGCTGTTCATACCTGATTCTGTTGGAAGGGAGTGTCTGTACAACAATAGTTTT